GGTCCCTTGGGGGTCTGTGGGGGCAGGAGGCCCTGGTCCCTTGGGGGTCTGTGGGGCGGGAGGCCCCGGGCTGCAGGCTGTGGGCCAGGGTGTCTGCTCACGGTGGCGTCTGTCCCCTTGCCTAGCCTTGGTAGGTCTGGCTGTGGGTAGATGCATGCGTGCTGCGAGCCCAGAGGAGCCTAACTTGGTCCTGCTGTGTGGCCAGGGCTGGGGCAGTCCAGGAGGGGCAGCTGAGGCTCACAGATACCACCCCAAATGAGAAGACCTGGTGGACGTGGCCCCTGCGGGAAGGCTGGGCTGCCTGGACCTGGAAGTCCAGCTGGTCCTCCAGGCATGGGAGTAACCAGTTACCCTCCCTCCAGCCTGGCGGCCCTGAGGGCCGGTGTCTAGCGTTTGGCTCCAGGGGTGCAGCAGCAGAGGCCCCAGGCTGCTCCCTGGTCTTGCCCCCGACCCCGCTGGGCTGCTGCAGTTGCGGGTGATCGGCACCAGATGGCGCAGGTATATCAAGCACAGCCTTGGCTCCAGGTGCTGCTCTGGGGTCACACCTGTGGCCACCTCAGACAGGTGCCCTCAAGGGGCAGGAGGGATGGGGCGAGTGGGAGGTCCATCTACACAGATGTGCAGGAGGACAGCTGAGGACCAGCGAGCAGGCCAGGAGCTGGGTGGAGAGCCGGAGGCACACACCCTGCCGTGCCTGCAGCCCAGCCTGCGCTGCCCTAGATGCCTCCTGAAGCCACGTTCCAGCCGTGCCCACCTTGAGCAGTCCACTGGCAGCCGAGTCCTGAGACACGGGGTGCCCCTGAGGCCTCACACAGCCTCCTTTAAATTTGAATGCCTGGATCCTCCAGGCAGGGGGCACACGAGAGCTTCCATGGGCACATGCCTTTTCTGCCTCTGCCACTCTCCTGAGGGCACCTGCCAGACCCCGAGGCCGTGGGCGTGGGTTGGAAGGGGTGCAGCCCCTGGGAACCTGGGTTCTGGTTGGTGGCTAGAGCCGTGGCAGAGGCAGAGACAGGCCAGGGTGTAACAAAGCACGGAGCCCCTTCGGAGCTGGCGCAAGAACGTACGTGTGGCAGTCAGCGAGGGCACGGGAGCCCGGGTCGTACTGCTTCTCTCACGCAGGCCCATCTCAGGCCAAGGAAGCCACGGCTTCTGCCAGGGTCAGCTGAGGGCTCAGAGACGGGTAACACAGGACCCACGTGTGCCAGGGAAGCCATGCCATCAAGGCCCCGCACACCCTCGGACTCCCAATGGCAATGCCGTCTCCTTGACGGGGCATGGGGTGACCTACGCTAATGGGGAACGGCATTCCTTCCTTTTAATTAGAGCCAACACCTCCAGGCGTAGTCTGCTTGGACTGCCGCTGCGGAGGGAGGCCCAGCACAAGCAGCTGGCGTCCTCACAGAACAGCCTGCCCTGCTGCCTGCAGGAACACCAGGCCGGAGCCAGGGGCCGGAAACTCCCACCGCACCCCAGGGGGCAGGCAGGGATTCAGGCACAGGACCCTTCAGCTGCTCTCCCAGGCACTGGTCAGAGGTGGAACTGTCAGGACTAGAACCTGCCACGGTACGGGGTCACACTCAGCAGCTTTCCGGCCCCGCTCTCCCTGTCTCCAGGCTCCCGGCTGTGGGCCATCTCTGCCTCTGGTTTTTGAATGTAATTCATTTTTTAAAAAAAAATGAAACAAATTTCTATGTCTATAATTTGCAGGACAAAAAAAGATTTGAAAGTAAAACTATGGCCTTACTTTATTGTTATTGAGAGAGACACGCGCCTGCTGACTCACTCCCTGGTCCCCCTGCTGTGTCCTTGTCCTCACCTCTTCTTCAATCGAGATTGGTTTGTTGATTGATTGAGTTGAAGGGCAGAGAGAGAGAGAGAGAGAGAGAGATTCTGTTCTCCAGTTCACTTCCCAGATGACCCACCAGCCAGGGCCGGGCCATGCTGCGGCCAGCGGCTCCAGCCAGATCTGCAAGGGCACGCAGGCACCCAGCACCCAGCACCCGAGCCGTCCTCCGCCTAGTTCCCAGGCCAACTGCCCGGAGAGAGCAGCCTGCAACGCAGACCTTGGCCAGGTCTGTCGGGGGCACGGAGGTGGGGAGGGAGGGCGGCCGGGGTGGCTGCTGGTGTTGGGCTTGTGGGGGGGCTTTCACCCCAGTCAGAGATCAAGTCCCCTGGGGGCTTCCTCATCCCTCTGTGCGTCCAGCCGGTCTTCCTGGAGGGCCCTGCTCCTGCACGTTTCCTTGGGCTGTGGGGACTCAGAGGGACGTGGTCGCATGGGCCCTGAGACATGGGACCATCCAGGACTGAGCCGTAAGTGGGGGCTGCACGGAGGCACAGCCGGTGAAGCCGCCACCTGCCGTGCCAGCATCTCCCACGGGTGCTGCGTGCCAGCATCTTCTAGGGGTGCTGGTTTCAGCTTGGCTGCTTCTCTTCTGCTCTGGCCATCTGAGGAGTGAACCAGGGAACGGAAGCACTCTCCCTCTTTCTGTGCCTCTGCGTGCAGCCACGCAGGTGCTCGCATGGCCAGGCCTCAGGCCCCCCTGGGGGTCCCAGGGCTCCGTGAGCACCCTCATGTGGAGCTGGGGGGTTGGGTGGGTTGGGAATCGCAGCGGAAAAGCAGCTCCGAGTGGGAGAGAGTTGGGCTCCAGGAGGAGCTGGTGGGGAGCACGTGGGACATGGCAAATTGATTGAAAAGAGTCAGAGTGAGGGCGGTGGGCAGGCGGGGAGCGGGGCCGGCAGGATGGCACTTCTCACACGCGGCCCTGCCCGACTGCTCTGGCCACCACACCCTGAGTGTTCCAAAGCTGGGGCAAGGGAGGGCTTCATCAACCAATCAACCAATCAGTTCCTCGTGTCTAACCCCGCATCTCCCTGCCTCTATCACTGACCTGCCGTCCACCTGTCACCTCTCATCAGCTGTCCACCGCCTACCAACGCCTCAAACGTCCATCCCCTCCTGAGGTCAAGAGAGCTGGGATCGACAAGCAGTTTGGGGATCACGTGCAGCTGTCCCCGGAGCCCTTGGACCACCGTCAGACTCAGGCAAGCAGCTGTGCCGGCCCTCCACCACCAGGGCCAGGGACCCAGGTCTGCCGGCATTCCTATTGCCCAGACAGGACCGGGCTGTGCACTGGAGCCCAGGACTTCGGCTCCTGACTGTGGCTGCTTCACCCCACAGTATCCCGGGATGGACAGCCGAGTCCTGTCCCGGCTCCCACCGCCGAGCCACGTGGTCACCTGCCCCAGGGCGGCGTGGCGCACTCGCCTGAAACCGTGGATCTTCTTCTAGCCTTGTGTTCTGAAGTTCATCATGGCTCTGCCCCTCTCGGCTCTGTGTCTCCTGCTGGGATTTTGAGCCAGGGCTCCGAGGTGGCTCCCGAGGCCCCTGGAGCTTCTGCTGCACTCTGCTCTCCTCTGCTGGGCTCCTGGGAAAGCCCCCCGACCCGCCCTCCAGCCTCCACGCGGCCCTGAGGTGCCCCAGTTGCATGCATGGGCCCCCTGCTTCCTGCTCAGCAGGGCCGGGGAGATGAGAGGGTGTGGGGGTGATGAGCGGTTCGGGCCCCTCCCGTACTGTGAGCACTTACAGTCAGGCCCTCCCAGGGGCTCCTGCAACTACAGCAGGTGGGCATATTTGCATCTTTCCTCTTGCACTCCGAGACCCCGCAGGGGGCTAGGGGACCCTCCCCCCACCCTGGGAGGGGTCCTTCAAGCCTGGCTGGGCATGGCAGCTCCCACTTCTGTGTACTCTCCCCACCCCCCCATAGTCCTGTGTTCTGGGCCGAAGGGCAAGTCCTGCTGAGTCGGAGGCAATGGCTGCAGATCGGCCACCCACTCGGCCTCCTGCTGGCCACAGCCCTGGCCCCCTTGGTGGCCTGTTTGGCTCCAGCAATGACCTTGGCCCTGGCTGAGCCTCCCCCTGTGATGACAAAGGCCGCCCTGGCCCTTTCCCATGCTCTGGATTTCGTTTTCTCAGATGGCCCAGAACCTGGGCGATGGGTCCTAGCCCCAACACGGCTCCTGTGTGGGCCTGGCTGCTCCCCCCTGCCTCCTCCTGTCCCCTGCAGCCCTGGCCCTCTCCGAGAGCCTGGCCCTGCTCCAGGCCGGCCACCTCTGCGTGTCACAGCTGAAGCACACTGCTGCCCCTGCACTGACGGCCGCAGCCCGCTGGCCTCTCCCTTAGCTCTGGGCGGGAGGTGAGAGGGGCTCTCCACCTTCCCCCTGCAGGGAAGGGCTAGGAGCCTGGCAGTCTCCTGGAGTCCTGGCTGCCCTGCCCTGACTGTGCTGGGTCCCGAGCCCTTGCAAGTCCACAGTTCAGGAGGGTTGGTGCTGGCCGGCCCCAGCTCATGTCTGGTCACACCTCCTGCAGCTTTCTCCCAGGCCCTTCGCCTTAGCCCCACCCTGCACCCAGGAATTAGAGAGAGTTTTGAAAAATAGTGTATTTATTTATTTTAAAGATGTGTTTGTTTTATATGAAAGTAGAACGACAAGAGAAAAAAGGAGAGAAAGTGAAATCTTCCATGTGCTGATGGTCGGCTGGCGCTGGGGCAGGCTGAGGCCGAGAGCTCGCAGGCTCCGCCGGGTCTCCCACCTGGGTGCGGCAACCAAGCAGTCTGTGCTTTCCCAGGCACAGTAGCAGGGAGCTGCATGGGAAGTGGAACAGCCAGGACTTGGACCAATTCCCACACACAATGCCGGGCGAGTGTGGGCCTCACAGGCAGGGTGTCCCTGGGGGCTAGACACCTGCTGGATTTTCCAGTCGCAGAGCAGGGGACAACAGTGGTTCCCGCCCCGGAGGCCTGCGGCACCTGCCCCCAGGCGTGGCCCTGTTAGCACTGGCAGCCACAGGAGAGTCAGGTTGGTCATGACACGCTTGCTGGCCCCCTTGAAGGCGGAGCTGGGGTTGCGTGTGAGACCCAGGCCTGGGCCATGGGGTGGAGGCGAGAAGAGACGGAGCGAGCAGGCCTGAGTGGACATCTTTATTTGGGAGGGAGCAGTACACAGAGCCATGCGGGCCATCAATCGTAAAAATATCTCAATAAATAAAACATGACATATACACTGAGACAGGAAGTACACGAAAATAAAGATAAGTCTGGTGGTGCCCGCGCCTGGGGCAGAAGAGGGAGGGAGGGAGAGAGAGATACAGAGAAAGAGGCCAGTGCTGGGGGCCGAGGTCGGGGTTCCCTCTGAGAGCCTTGGTCCAGTCTCAACAGAATTTACAAGGGTGCATTTCCATTTTATTAAAAAAATATACATTAGAGAAGGCACTTGGAGGGAGCTACAGACGCCAGATCCGAAGCCTCATCCGCGAGGCGGAATCCAGAGATGTGCAGGGAGAGCAGCCCCTCTCTCCGGAGAGCGCTGGGGCCAGGAGGGGAGCTGCACCCCCGGTGCCGTTGGCCCAGGCCCCGGGGTCTCCTTGGGGTCATCCAGGTTGTCCAGGTCGAGGTCCGGGTGCTGCCCAGCTCCATTTGTGTCTGGAAGACAAGGAGGGCAATGCGTTACTGTGGGGCAAGCTGGGGCAGGAGCCCTGGGGGTGGGCGGCCGGGAGGGAGATCAGGACCACCCTGGAGCTCCGGTGCTCCCCCTCGACACTCCAGGGGGCTTCCTGCTTCATAAACAATTGCAAGTTCATAGGAGATGGGCAGAAGATTCTGGTGCTGAGAGCTGGCGCAGTGTCTCACCTGAGCGTGTGCTTGCCTCTGCAGCGTGATGGTATATGATGTGTGTGTGCCGGCTGCCTGACACCAAGAGCTGAAGCCCAAGGCTGCAGGTCAGGGGCCCGTGGACCTGCTGGGAACGGCCTCCAGAGGTCAGTGGGGCCCGACCGTCACACCCAAGGCCACTGAGCCATGGGAAGCCCCAAGGTCATGCGCAGGGGAGCTCACGTGACCCCGTGTGTCACTGAGCGTGTGTGTATGTGTGTGTGTCTCCACCGGAGCAGGCACAGCCGAGTTCTCTGTGTGTGTGTGTCTACGGGAGCATTTCCACCTTGTGACTGTGTGTGTCCATGCACGCCCAGCGTCCTCAGCAGAACACAGCACTGTAGACTCCTCCCCACTCCACGGCCCGCGTGGGAATTCAACGGCCTCTGTCCTCAGAGAATTTTAAAACTTACTGAATCAACGCAAAGATCTGAAATGGCTAAGACATGTTTTCCCTGGTTCTCATGTGCCTGGACATACATAGACATGCATGTGCACACGTGAGCACAGTGCGAACACCCACACTGCACATGCGTGAGCAGGCACAGCTCAAGCAGAAGTGGACACACATACACTTGTGCTCACATAGACACTTTTTTCAAGTTCAGAGCACTTCACTACTGAAAACTTCCAAGTTGTCCCAGGCAGAAAGTCCAGGTTGCTTCCCGGGAGAAGGCAGCTGATACAGCGGCGGGGAGGGGGTAGCAAAGCTAAGCTGAGAGCCTTCCCCCGGGGAGGGGCGGGAGGGAGGCAGGCACGGCTGCGGGCTTCAGTATATGAGTTGTACCAGCTGTCCCAGGGGAAGTGCAGCCATGGGAAGCCAAAGCCAGCAGGGGACGGCCCGGTCAGGGTGGCCTTCGGGGCTTGAGCTCCAAAGGGGCCCAGGACTCAGCAGAACCATCAGCAAGTTCACAGCCCCTCCTGACGCAGCCCCTCCTGACACAGCCCCTCCTGACACAGCCCCTCCTAGTGCAGCCCCTCCTGACACAGCCCCTCCTGACACAGCCCCTCCTGACGCAGCCCCTCCTGGCACAGCCCCTCCTGACGCAGCCCCTCCTGACACAGCCCCTCCTGGCGCAGCCCCTCCTGGCACAGCCCCTCCTGGCACAGCCCCTCCTGGCAAGCCCCTCCTGACGTAGCCCCTCCTGGCGCAGCCCCTCCTGACGCAGCCCCTCCTGGCGCAGCCCCCGTCACGTCACCCCAACATGCCCACGTCCACTGACATGGACAACATTCTCCACAGCAGAAGTAAAACATCTGGGCTTACACACATGCCTCCTGTCCCCACGCACACACCCGCGCCTGCCTGCCCAGTCCACAGGGTGGTGGCGGGTGAGCCGCGGAGCAGGGCTGGTCCTGGGGGTCCCTCCAATCTCTTCCCGTCTGGAGTTCACAGCACCAAGAAGCGGGGAAAGGTTCTTACCGGCTCTGCCTTTACAGAGCGAACGAAACACCAGTGGTGCGGCTCTGGAAGGCAAAGAAGCCGTGGGCTTTTGGAGGGGGCTCACTGGAAGGTCACCTGTTTTTCCATCCAGACCCCTCCCGTCCACCCACCAACTCGCCCATCCACTCACCCACTCAGCCATCCATCCATTCATCCACCCATCACCCATCTGTCCATCCATCCACGCATCCACCCATCACCCATCTGTCCATCCATCCACGCATCCACCCATCACCCATCTGTCCATCCATCCATTCATCCACCCATCACCCATCTGTCCATCCATCCATTCATCCACCCATCACCCATCTGTCCATCCATCCACGCATCCACCCATCACCCATCTGTCCATCCATCCATTCATCCACCCATCACCCATCCATCCATCCATTCATCCACCCATCACCCATCTGTCCATCCATCCATTCATCCACCCATCACCCACCCATCCATCCATCCACGCATCCACCCATCACCCACCCATCCATCCATCCATTCATCCACCCATCACCCATCTGTCCATCCATCCATTCATCCACCCATCACCCATCTGTCCATCCATCCACGCATCCACCCATCACCCATCTGTCCATCCATCCATTCATCCACCCATCACCCACCCATCCATCCATCCACGCATCCACCCATCACCCATCTGTCCATCCATCCACGCATCCACCCATCACCCATCTGTCCATCCATCCATTCATCCACCCATCACCCACCCATCCATCCATCCACGCATCCACCCATCACCCATCCATCCATCCATCCACGCATCCATCACCCATCTGTCCATCCATCCATTCATCCACCCATCACCCATCTGTCCATCCATCCATTCATCCACCCATCACCCATCCATCCATCCATCCACGCATCCATCACCAAACAATCAAAAATTCACTGAGCATCTACTATATTCCAGAAGTGCTACTAGTTGTTAAAAAAAAAAATCCAAGATGTGGGGCCAGCATAGTGGCATAGCGTGTTAAGCCGCCATCTACATTTCTGGCATCCCAGATTGGCTGTTCTACTTCTGACCAAGCTCCCTGCTAATGTGACAGGGAAGGCAACAGAGGCTGGCCCAAGTGCTTGGGCTCCTGAACCCCTGGGGGAGACCCAGGAGAAGCTCCTGGCTCTTTGCTTCATCATGGCCCAATCTCAGATGTTGGGGCTATTTGGGAGTGAAGCAACAGATGGAAAAAGCTCCGTCTCTTCCCCCTCTTTCTCAACAACAGATGTTTTTCAAATAAATAACTTGTAAAAAATAAGAAAAAGCCAAGATGAGTCAATGAAATCCATCAGTGTAAAAAAGCAAAAACCACACAAGGTGGTTCCAGAGCGAGAGCGCGTCCCGGCTAGAGAAGGGGGCAAGTTTCCTGGGCTTTGTTGGTCACGGGTTCAAAGCCTGCTCTCACCAGATCACACACGCATGTTCATGGAAGGCACTCACGCACACACTCACAATAGACTGAGGCACACATATGGACACACACAAACACTCACACATTCATTGTCACTCTCTCAATATACACACTCACACTTACACACCACCACACTCACACACAGCCACACACTCACTTACACCCCTCAGCCATGCCATCCCAGGTCTTCTTGGGCCTTAGCTCCAGGCTCCCTCATGCCCACTCGCACACCTTGGGCTGGCTACAGCGAAACCAGCCGCCGAGGAAACAGGAGACGTGGCCAGTGACGCCCCAGGCGCGCGGGCACGGGAGGCCTCTCTTCTGCAGGGGCAGTGAGGTGCTGCCCAGCCGCCACAGCAGGGCAAGCCGACAGGATGAGGGGAAGCAGCAGAGGAGCTCCGCCATCCCGCCATCCCGGGGCAGGAGCTGTGGGAGGTGGGGGCACACAGGAGGAGGGCCGTAGCTGGGCTCCCCACACCCTGAGCTCCCAGCAGGACTGGCAGCCAGACAGCAGGTACACACCTATGACACTGTCACTGCATGTCTGGACAGGTCCCACGCTCTCCAGCCAAAGCAGGGGGCCCCAAAGCATCAGGGGCTCAGGACCCTGGCAGGGCACCCACACAGAATGGCAGAACACACTGACTCAGCAGAGAGTCACACGGTCCTTCCCAAACAGACCGCTCCCACAACTCTCCTTCCAGTACCCCTGGAGTGAAAGGCGTGCCCACAGTTCCCAACATTATCTATGATTCATTTGTAAAGCTGACTGGGGCTGGCCCTAAGGCAGACCATGCCAAGCCATCACTGGTGATGCTGGCATCCCATATGGCCATTGGTTCGAGTCCTGGCTGCACGGCTTCTTCTCTAGCTCCCTGCTTATGTGCCTGGGTAAGCAGCAGAGGATGGCCCACATGCACGGGACCCGGCACCCAAGTGGAAGACCAGGAAGAAGCTCCTAGCTTCTGGCTTTGGACCAACACCACCCTGGCCATTACAGCCATTTGGGAAGTGAACCAGTGGGTGGAAGGCCTTTCTCTCTCTCTCTCCTGGCCAGTAAGAAGCCTGGTACAGAATGCAGGGTGCAGCTGAGGCTCCAGGAGGCCCAGGGAGGGTGGGCACGCAGGGAGATAAGGTCCAGCGTAGAGGATGGGCAGCCCAGGAGATGGGAGCTGGTTCAGGGGCACAGACACTGTGATGGAGGGAAGACCCCCAGGGGTCCTGGCCAGGAGAAAGGTGACGAGGCTCCAGCACAGCCGAGGCCAGTGCCGGGGGCCGGCGAGGGGCCAGAGATCGGACCTGGAGACCGAGGGGTGGGTGGTGACTCACAAGAGAGATTGGGGCTCCTCACACGAGACCCTGTGCCAGGAGCTCTGCACGGACTAAGCAAGGGGTGCTCACACGGCACCTGTGCAGGGCAGAGGAGGGGGTACTGGAGGGTGGGTCATCTGGTCCCTGGGAGCAACCCAAGACCCTCAGCTCTGTGCTGTGTGTCCACAGCAGCCTAGGGACATCAGCAGAGGCCACAGTGGATGCTCGGGCTGGAGGTGGCCTGTGGTGGACAGAGGCTAGTGGGTACCTCGGCCTGTGCTGGAGAGTAAGGGGCCAGGACTCTCACAGATGTGTGAACCCCCTGGGGGGCACAGGGCGGGGCACAGTGCTTCCCGCAGGACCCCGCACATGGCTTCCCGCAGACCCATGGGACTTGGAAAAGGCACTGGACGGTAGCTAACCCTCGTTCCAAGGCTGATGAAACGCGGGAAACTGACCTGGCCCCAAACGGAGCGCTGAGGAGTGGGGTCCACTTGTCTCAGGGTCCCCTGCTGGTGTCCAGGTGAGCCGGCCAAGGTCAGGAGTGGAAGGGACCAGTGCGCATGTGTACACACACATACTCACACACA